CTTTTGTGCCAGTCAAGCCAACCAGCTTGGGAGAAAATTCTAAATCAAAAATGAATAAAGAAAAATGAGAAGCAAGCAAAATAGCCATCTCTACCAAAAAAAAAAAAAAAAAAAAAAAAAAAAAAAAAAATCCAAAACTAAACAACCAGTACCTGTTCCAAAGCAGCCCTAGTAGTACTTTTTCCTTGAGAATTCTCAAGCATTTCTTCATTATTCAAAGGAAAAGGAATTCACATAGAGCCAATTAAAATTTTCCTTTGTAATATACTGTATATCAATCTTTTCATGATTGTCTAGTAAAGATCTGGATGGAATAATTTTCTTTTTTAAAATCACATTTCTAATTAGTTTTAAAAATACAAGTAGTTAAATTACAACCAAATTTAAAACTACCATGAATTAAAAACTACAGTTTTTCACTGTACCATGAAGAAAAAGTATGTTTCACAATTAAGATATCACAGCACACCAAAATATCCACATTTTATTTTCTAACAAATAATCACAATACAGATGCAGTACCAGGTTCTACTTTTACTTCTACTAAGAAGCTACTCAATTACTAGTCACCATTCCAAAACAACAATGACAATAATGTTCAGGGCTAAGGATGAATCCCTCATAGTATACACATGCTGTTAGACTGCTGAACATATAAAAGTGGCTCAGTGGAAGTCACTTTAAAAAACTGGATTCATGACAGCTCAACATTTAACAGCATGCCGTTCTTAAGGTATGGAAGCCTTTGGTCCTTGGCTAATTCATTTTCAACTGGGTACTAAATTAAGTACTGAAGAAAGCAGGCTGGCTTTTCAAGTAATAATAAGGGTCAATGACACCTGAGTTACTACACATCCACACATTTTTTTTTAAACTGAATTGCTGAAACAGCAGTATTTTCCTAAACACTAACTTAAAATTTTTAACTCTTCCACCTAAAAAATGACATTTATAATGCATATACATACTTTTGAAGAAAATTACTGTAAGGTTTTGGCCTTTCAATTAGGTATGGTAAACTTAAATGTCTATACATTCGGGGTTTTATGGTTTACTTAATATGTGATAAAAACAACCGCCAATACAACACAATTAAATGTATTACCCAATGAGTATATTTATATGAGCTTTTTATTATTTTATGAAAAAACTTTATTGCTCAAATTTTTGACAAACTTACAAATTGTGGGCATAAATTATATTTAAACACATAAATAAAACTATAGAAAAAACATAACCCTTTACCTTGTACTACACAGATTTCTTATTTATTAAACAAAGCACTACATAAAAGAATAAGCCAATGTATTTGGACTTAAGCTTTTAAAACATGGGGAAAAGATGTGAGTAGACATTTCATCAAGGACATAAAGATGACAAGAAAATGAGTATGTGTAGTATTAATATTTATTACAGAAATTAAAATCATAATGAAATAGTACTAAGAGCCTACTGGAGTGGCGATAATTAAAAACACTGAATATCAAGTATGATCGGGATGTACACAAACTGGAATTCTCAACACTGTTGGCTAAAAAAGTAAAAATGGACAACTATCTTGGAAAACACTTTGTCAGTTTCTCCCAAAGTGAATCATCACTAGGTGCCCCAGCCACTCCCCAGGTGGGTGTGTACTCAGGAGAAATAGAACCATGTGTCCACACAAAGATCTGTACATGGAGAGCACCTGCCAAGAGCCAAAAGCTGGCAAACCCTCAATGTTTATTAACGGACTAGTATTCAGGAATACAAATGAACAGGCCATGATACACACTGCAACATTGGTGATGTTCAAAATAACTTTTTAAAACAAGTACATACTGTATAATTCCATTAACATAAAATTGTGGAATGCAAACTAGCTTACTCTGACATTAAAGCAGTTTAATGGTTGCCTGGAGATGGGAGGTAGAAAAGGCAACTGGGGTACAAGATTAGAAAGGTATGAAGAGCCCGGCATGGCAGTCCATGCTTGTAATCCCAACTCATGGGGTTTAGGATCATGAGTTTAATTTGAGGCTAGCCTGAACCATGGAGTAAGACAATGTCTTAAAAAATTTTTTCTCCTCCTTCTCCTTCCCCCACCCTTTTTCCTTCCTGCCTTCCTCCCTCTCCTTTCCTCCTCTCTCCCTCCCCTTCCTCCTGTCCTTCTCCCTCTCCCAGTGCTGGGAATTGAACCCAGGGCCTCAAGTATACTAGTCAAGAGCTCCACCACTGAGATACTGTCCTTAGTGGTGACAAGTTGATTTTCCTAAGTGTGGTGATGGCTTCACAGGTGCATACTCACATTACAAGGTAACAAACTACATTTTAAATATATACTTTTATTACTCAAAAATTATACCTCAATAAATCTTGTAAAAGTAACAAAATACACAGCAGCTCCTTCACAAGTTTTAAAATAATTTAAAAATTCTATGGGATATGTATTTGAATGTCATAAAAGTAGGCATTAGTTTTTCTCACCAGTAATTAAGTCAATTTCACAATAATTTAGTTTAAAATTGCTGATTTTTAAGCACCTAAAGAAGTTTGGGTTTACAGAAGTAAACTTGCCTGCCTTCACAGATAAACTAGAACCTGAACATTCATCCTCAATTCTACAATTTACAGCCTGGAAAATTATTTAGTAGATTTTAATCTGCTGTAGAGGTATTTGAATTAAAATTTTTATAGTAAAAATTATGGAGGTGTTTGTCACAGTACATGTTTTGGATTTACAAAACATGTCATGAGTTCAAAATGCAACTAGTAATTCATCTTCAATGCCCTAATATATACAGTCTCAGAATGCATGTTTCTCCTAACTTTATCAACAGAGAATGAGGAACAGAATTGGAATTAGAAGCACTATATCCTTACTCCTAATTCAAGGTTCTATTAGCTGACATAAAGTTCAAGCCCAAATCCCTTCACTGGGATAAAGGAGTACTGCATAGACTTGAGAAACCATTTCTCCTTTATGTAGGACTAGCCACTGACCAAGCTCTAAGCGCCCTGTTCATGTGCCTGTAAAACCAGCCCATTTGTCCTGCTTACTTTACAAGGCACTGTGATTCCAATGAGTTGATGTCGAAAACTGCAAAAGCTAAACAGATGTAAAGTATGAGGAAGTATGTAAAGATATAAAATATACCTTTCACATAACTTGCAATGGCTTCTTTTGTGTCCCTTTCTGGATCAATGGTGATGAAAAGCGGAGTTAAATTTGGGAGAGTTGGAATACTATCTGAAAGAAAATTCCAATTAGTATTCATACTGTAAGGGAAAAGACAAAATCAGCAATGGCAAGAGAGGGTATAAGTGCTAGACTGTGGTGTTAAGCAAACAGGGAAATCTAACGTTTGAGTTGAGAGGACATGGATGGGTAGAACTGGATATATAACCCTATGAAATACTCATGCTGGAATGCTATCCTGGCAGCATTCTCTAACCCAATCTAATCCAGTGTCTCGTTTATTCTCCACCATAGCTCAAGGACAAGGTAAATCATTTAAAAGGACCGAAATTCTGAAACAATTTAAGATTGTTTAGTCAGTGTTACTAACGTGTATCATTGACTACATACTGTTGTCGATTTCCTAAGCTACCACTGGAAAAAAAGGCAGTGGGAAGACCACAATAAAGATGCGGACACAAAAGCAAAGTTCAGGGAGACCCTGGCCATAATGACATTTTTCAAGTGATCTAACATTTAATATCAAAGTACGCTTTCTTTGGTGGAGAGTCAGGTCACACAGCCAAAGCAACAAAGCAGCTGAATGCTGAGACTTTATCTTTTTATAGGTTAAATAATTTTATCTCCCAATGTAACACAGGAATGTGAAAATGTAGTAACATTAAGTAAAAAATAAACAGTGGAGAGTGAGTAATGGCTTTCTTACCTATTTCATCCACCACTTGAATCATTTTTTCCAGTTCTTCTGGACAGATATCAGGACAATGCGTGAAACCAAAATAAATCAATACCCACTCGCCCAGGTAGTCCTTGTTAGTTTTGGGCTCTCCAGTATGGGTTGTTAGGGAAAATGGTCCCCCAAGTAAAGGCTTCCCAATGCTTCGATGCCGTTCCTTCTCCAGCT